TGCAGGGGCCCTGAAGGCAGTGCCTGTGTCAGAAGGTTCCCGAAATGCCCAGGGCATGCCTGGAGGGTACCTGGCTCCAGACCTGCTTCCCAGACCCACCAGTAGGCTGGCCTGGCTCCTGTTCCTTGGGGCAGGGTGGGGGGGCGGAGGGTGTTGGGGGGGTGGTTGGGGGGGTGGGGGGTAGGAGATTTCTTCATGAATGAGGCAGCACAGAAAGGAAGCATGGGCATGTTATGGTCAGGAATGAGGACTTGAGTTTTATTTGGAATCATTAAAAACAAAAATTCACAGCAGCATCTGTGGGGTCAGAAGGACCAGGGGGCAAAGCGACTGATTGAGGGAGGTGAGGGAGGTGAAGGCAGTGTAGGAGGACAGGCCCTGTGGGTGGTCAGGTGTGGGAACATGGGCAACCCAGGTCACGCTCCAGGGCTGGGCAGTCCTCATGCCCGGTGGGGTCCAAGGCAGAGGGCTCTTCCTCCTCCATGGCTGACTTGCATCCCTCTAGTCTCCTCCACTCTTGGCCTGGGAGAGAGAGTGACCTTCACACACAGCTCCAGGCTCCCACCCTCAGTGGCCACCCTGAGTGGGGTGGGGCTGGGAGCCATCTCTGCCCCTCCGCCCTGAGGAGCCTTTCATGAAGGGACCTCACATTCAGGCTGAGGGGGCTGCAGAGGGTCACAAGGCTTCCCTGAGGGCTCAGGGGACCCTGGGAGGGAAGCAGGATTGCCCGGGTACCCTCTGTTCTCTGGGAGCCCAGCACCTACCTCCTCAGCCACTTCTTCTTCCGCTTTGGCTGCCTTGTCCTCCTGCGAGGGAGCTGGTTGCTCCAGGTCCTCCTGTGAGGGAGAAAAGGGGATGTGGGACAGTGTGGAGGGCGCAGAGGCCCCAGCTTCTCTGCACCCACGGCTCATCCACCTGGCCTCAAAGAGGAGCAGAGGGCCTTATCACCTTGCTGTGTGCGGTGTGTCATCACCAGACTAACCAGAGGAGCGACAGAGCCTCACGTGAGGACCCACAGCGGGGGCTCTGATGATGCCGAGGCTTTATGGGGGCACCATGTATCTTGGAGCCCAGCTTCACACACCCCCGAACTAATGTGGAGTCTCTGGGCAGTCTGTGGTTGGGCCTTCTTATGGAGGAGGACTGGTGGGGTGGGTGGAGTGAGGTGGGGGTGGGCCATGGCCCTGAAGCCCTAGGCCTGACCCCACCCTCAGTGTCCCTGCATCATATGATCACACACTCTTGTCCTACTGAGCCCCCAAATAGCCCTAGGAAGAGGGGTGTTTTTACTGTTCATACTGAGGCCAGGGAGGCCACGTATCCAGCTAAAAGCCTCACAGCTCAAAGCAATGGGGCTGGTAGAGATCAGGTTCGGCTTGCTCCAGGCCCATCCCTATCCCTAGTAGCAGCTTTCTCTCTCCCTGCCTCCTGGATGGGCTCCGGGCTCAAGCTGGTCCGGTTGGAGCCAGCAGGCATTATACAATCCTCCCCACTTCCTGTCTCCTACCACCTTACCCCCACTCAGACACTTGCCTAAGGTGACCTGCCCGGGAGGTAGTCGAGTGACAGCTGTGGGCAGGGCCAGACTGGGTGATCAGCCTGGATCCCGGTCTTAGCACCAACCTCTGGAGGATTCTGCCGTCTCCATGCTACTTCTGGGACATCCTTGGTGGATTGGGGCTTAAATGGGCACTGAACTCTGTCAGTCACAGTAGGGGCAGCTTTCCAGGCAAAGGGTAGGTGGCCACAGGCCAAGCCCTACCACCCAAGGCAGATGCATGAGGCCAGTGGAATGAAAGGGCTGTCAGACAGGCAGTGCTGCATCCTTCTATGGTTCACTGGAGGAAGAGTTGTGACTGGTTTCTGGGTGTCACCAGGAAATGTCTCCCTTGGGGCAGCTACCCCCACTCCAGGCCCTGGGGTGGCTCCATGGGCTTACCAGCCCTCCTTCAAGGCCAGAGAGGAGTGCCCAGGCTCCCTCTCAGAGGCCCAGTGGCAGCCTGACCCCACCCCAGTGCCTCCTTTGCTCTCCCGAGCACCTATGGGTCCTGCCCGGAGGCACAGATGATGATGGTATAGTCTCCTGCCTCTGTTGGGTGCTCACCATGACCCAGGTGTAACAGTTTCGTGGGGGCCATTTCCCTGCACGATCACACAATGTCATAATGAAACGGGGACGGTCACCCCCTCCCTTGTTACAGGAGAGGTAATGGAGGTGCCAAGGGGTTAAGTAGCTTCCCAAGGTCATATAGCTGGCAAGGGGCAGAGCTGGGAATGAGCAGACGGGTTGCCAGCTCTAAAGAGGTGGAGAACCTGTGCTGGCCCCAAAAGTGGACGCCTAGGCGCTGCCTCCTGGCAGGGGGGCTTCCTCCCCTTCCTCCCATCTGCTCCCTGAAGCAGGGGTCCTCATTGCTGGGTGCCTCAGAGAGGCCCATGCCTGGCCCCCATATAAACCGGGCCCCCACCACGGCCTCACACTCATGCAGAATCTCTCCCAGCACAGGCCCTGCAGCCAGGCTGCCCTGGGAACCCCAGGCTTGCGGGACTAGCCCCTGGGACCTCGGTCACATAACGTAACCTCTCTGGGCCTCATTTCCACACCCGGTCTCTGCAGATTCTGTGCCGATTGAATGAGTTAATACGTGTAAAATGCTTGAAGCAGAGCCTGCTCTGTGGTGCGTGCGGGAATAGCTCACCTAGCGGGCCTCCACCTCCTGGGGGCGCCCAACTGCGCCTGCGCCCTCTGCACCTGGCAGCCCACGGGGGCACACGCCCGCGCCCGTGCACAAAAGTGGAACGCGGGGTCAGGACCCTCGCTGCTTTGTCACGAGGGGGCGCTGCTTCCCTGCTCCTCCCACCAGGCCCTGGAGGGAGGCTGGACAGCAGGCCGGTGGGCGGTGACTTTGGCAGCTCCAGCCTGGTGTCTTCTGCCCTGGAGGCCGCCTGTCACTGCGTGAGGCCCACAGCACCCTGCTTTCACTAGTGAAATGTGATACCTCCCAAATGCGGAGCCTCAAGAGGACGTGGTTTTGAGCCTCACTTTCCAGGTGGGCCCCAAACGGCCCCCCTCACAAGAGGAATTATGAGGGTTCTAGGTGTTAATGGGTTTGAGAAACACCAAGCACAGACCGTGGGCCCCCTCAATCTCTGCTTCCCTATATGTCATGAGGCAATACTGCTTTCTCCTCAGCTAGCCTCTCTGGGGCCCAGGAGAAAGGATGAGACTGGCCCGAGAGCCAGGGCCACAACTGGATCTCACCTTTCGAATCACTCCGGAGGTGATGGCGATGTTCTCCGCCTCCTCCACCGTCTTGATGGCCACTGTGTTGACGCTGGTGACCACGGCCTCACTCACAGCATTGGCCTGCTCCTTGGTCTTCTCAGCCACTGCAAGAGGACTCTGGCTGGCCGTGGTCCTGACCCCTCCTTGTCCGGGCCTGGCCTGCCCAAGTCAGGCTGAGCAACCTCTTTCTCGGGGCGCTCAAAACTCTGCCTCTACTGGAGGCCCTGGACTGCGCCTTTCTCTGACTCCGGGGGAGCCCTGATGCAGGAGGGGCACCCTGGGTCTATCTAACCTCATGTGCATGTACAGCTTAGGCTTCTAGTTGGAGTGTAGGAGGACCCTGGGCTTGAGCCTTCAGTACCAGGTTGCAGTCCCTGGAGGTCCCAACCCCCATATCCCCTGGTCCTGGGCCCCTTACCTGAGGTCACACTCTGCACAACATTCTCCTTGGTCTTGGCTCCTGGGGAGGAAATGGAGGCGTCAGCCTACTCCTCCTGGTGTTGGGAGCGAGGTGGTCAGGGCAAACACACAGAACAGCTGAACAAGCTGTGGGGTTGGTAGGGGGGGTGAGGTGGTGTCTGGGGGCCGGCAGTCCCTTCAAAGGCTGCTTCCTGCTGTGTCTGGAGAAAGGGGATGGATGGGAAGTGGATAGGACAGGACAGGGGGATGAGAGAGACCAGGCCTGAGGTAGGGTCCAGGCCCACCTGGGTGTGGTCTGGGCCTCGGAAGCAGCAGCAGGACGGAGCTGAGTCACCAGCTTCCGAGGGGCTGAAGGGGGTGGGGTTGCACAGGACACTGGGGCTCAGGCTCCTCTCCCCTGCTTACCCTTCCCTCTGAACAGGGTGGGGACCTGGGGCTCCGCTGCTGAGCACCTTCCTGCTCTAGGCTCAAGCTGGCTTCTTATCTGAGCACAAGGGCCTGGAGGGGATGCTGGCGTGGGGGACACTGGTCTGCATCTGTGCACTCGTGTGTGTGTGTGTGTGTGTGTGTGTGCGCGCGCGCAAACAAGTGTGTCTGAAGGCCGAGTGCCCCCTTGCTGTTCTGCTTCAGAGACCCTGGAGCCCTGAGGAGGTCAGAGCAGACACTGTGGGGTGTGGGGGATGGTATGCAGGGGGATGGGGTGCTCCAGGGCGTGGAGACCCTGACCCAATGGCCAGGACCTCATCCCCACCCAAAATGCCCCCCTGGGGCTGGGGGAGAAGGTTGGCCCAGGGAAACCGGGCACCCCCGCCTCTCGCCTCCCAGTCGCTGCACCCTGCCACGCCCTGCTTCGCCCAGACTCACCCACATACATGACCCCCTCCTTGGTCTTCTCAGCTGCTTCCGTCACCCCTTGCTTGGTCTTCTCCACAGCGCCCACCACACCCTCCTTGGCGATGGAGAAGCCCTTCTTGAAGACGTCCATGGTGGTGGGCAGTGCCAGGAGCCTGACTCTTCCAGTGAGCTATGGCTAGAGCTGGCAAGAATGCTGCTGCAGCCGCTGTCCCCGCTGCTGCCGCTGCCTCTTATTGACGCCCATGAAATATTGATGATGCGGCGGCGGCTGGCTGGTGGGAGCTCAGCCAGCAGGCCAGGGAGGGCGGGGGAGGAGGCCCGCCCTCACCTTCTCCGGGGGTTGGGCAGTGGGGTCCGGCTCCCCTGGGCCCCTGCTGCCCAGCCCTTCCCTCCTGCCCCCTGCCCTCCAGGGAGTGGCGCAGGGGGCTGGACACATCCTAATCCATCACTGTCCCTCATTCATTCGCTGCCCTGCCCACCCACAGCCTGGCTGAGTGCTCTCAGGCCTGGGGCTGTTGCGTCTGTATACATCTGGGACAGAGGTGGTCAGGCAGGGGAGGCACCTTTGCTACCAGCTTCTCAGGTAGGGCAGGGGGGCAGGGCCATGTAGGCCAGGGGTTAAACAACAGTGGCCGACTTCCCAGACCGGCCCCGGCCTGCCTGGCTACTCACTAGCACCGTGGATGCCCCCACGTCCCAGGGCTCCATCAAGGGCATCAAGGGCAGTGGGGGAGATGGGGCAGAGGAGCACACAAAGGGCCTCCCAGTGTCCTGGCCTCTGGCTAACACTGTGTGACCCTAGGACAGCTTTCTCTCTCTGAATCTCCGCCCACCTGCTGGCTCCCACCCACAGCCCAGTGGTGAAAGGCGCTGAGTAGGCACGAAGTGCCCCTCGCTTCCTGGCCACCAGCATGGATGGGCAGCAGGTTCCCTGAGACTGAGCCGACCGCTTCCTGCAGACCCACCTCGAGGCTTGTGTTCTTCTCCTGACTCCCATGGGGACGTGTTGGTGGGGCCACCCCCCTGTGTGTTCCACACCTCCAGTGTCCCTGACCTGAGTCCTCTTAGAGAGGCACAGGAACCGGTCTGAGTTGTTGGCTGCCTCTGCAGGGGATGGTGGAGGTAGCTAGGGGGAGGTGAGGGGGGTGCCGGACGAGGCTCACCGGGTGGGCCGGCCCAGGCCACTTCCTCTCTTTGTTGTCCCTGTGCTTTCTTTTCCTTCTGAGGCTTAACTTGAAGACGACGTCAACATCACCAGCAGTGTGTGGAGTCACTTGCTGCGGCTGAGCCCGTCCCACGGCCAAGATGATCCTGACGCTGCTGCTCGGTCTCGGGGGGCCCCTAGGCTGGGGGCTGCTGGGGGCCTGCGCCAAGGCTTCAGGTAGCAGGCTCTCTGATCCACATAGCCCAAGGCCGCCTGCGGTCTGGAGGGCAGAGGCTGAGGATATCGGCGGGGACCCCGTCAGACGGTAAGGAGGACCTCGACCTTGGGGGGGAGGTCATGGTACAGGATCTGAGTTCCAGCTCAGCCAGAACAGAGTCTCTTGGAACCTCAGTTACCCATCTGTGAAATGACCTAATATTATGTACCTGCTGGGGCCGGCTGTGAGGCTGAATGAGATGCCTGGTGTCAGACTCCCTTCAGGAGGCCACCACCCCTCCAAGCCCAGACTGGGCACCCCAGGGCCCAGCCTAAGGACCACAGGAAGTTCCTCACCTGGCCCATGACAGGGAGCAACCTGGAGGTCGGGCAAGAGCATTTCTTGCCATCAACCACTTAGCAAGGGGTGATGAGGGGCAGTAGTTCCAGAAGTTTCCAGCTGGCCTGGCAGTGTCTCCCCTTCTTTGAAGTAAGTCAACTGACATTTGAGCCTCCATGAGGCTGGCCTGGCATAAGTCATGGAAGAGAGACACTCCTGGATTTTTATCTGAGTGCCCAGGAGGACTGGTGTGGGTCTTCAGCCTACCCCTGAGAGACAAGCAGTGAGCAGACAGGGTACTCTGTCCTATTTCCAGACAAAGAGGAAGCCACGGCATCCATTGAGTTCTGCTTCAGTGCCCCTCTGGAAATGAGTGGAATGGTCTTGTGACTGAACCAGGACACCATTTCCCAGTCTTTTATTTGTCCAGACTCAGGTGCCCCTGCTGATAAGGTGCTGGACCTGTGGGTTCCTCCTCGGGGTGTTCCACAGTCAGAACAGCAGGTGCCCTCATGGGGTCCCCCTTGGTGCCCTCATGGGGTCCCCCTTGGGGCTAGGCACTTTGCCGGGTGTTAGCTTGGTTAATCCTGCCAACAGCCGGGGTTACAGGGGAGGAACCCATGGCTCAGAGAGACTAAACACCTGACCCACGATCATACAGCTAAGGGGATCTAGAACCAGGATCTAGGTCTGACTTCAGAGCTCATGATCTGGTTCCCGAGCACTCAGAGGCAGCCCCACCCCCTAGACGCACTTTATATGCCTACCACACCCCCGACCACAGACACACACACACCAGACTTGGTGAGGGTGTTTATATGGGTTTGGAAGGTGAAAGGGGTCAGTTTACACCCACCCAGAGCCTTCCACCTGGCTCCCTGAGATTCACTATCACATTAACTTATGGAATGAATCTGCCTGGGACAGTTGTCCTATAAGCTCTGACACTTCAAGGTGAATGTGTTTGTTGGACACTTTCCTGAAAATGGATTTGGCCATGGAAAGGAAAGAGTAATAAGCAAGTGCACACCGACTCTCAGGGAGGGAGGCGCTGGCCAAGTGGGGAGGAGGGGGCCCATCTCTGCCCCACCACCAGGTCGGCTCAGGGCTGGGTGGAGCAGGTGATTCTTGGTGGGGGGCTCCAGCCACCGAACTCTGATTTCAGGTGTAAGAACCAAGCCTCCCTACCCCAAAGCTCCTTTCTTCGGTGACCTGCTTCCTTTTGATAAAAGGGAGGCTCAAGGTCCCAGGTGGATCAAAAAGAGGTAGGAGACACTCCTCTTTCTCCCTACCCCGTTGGCTGTGGGGAGAGGCTTGTGGGCTGTGCTCATCCACTCCCTGGGTGGTCCCAGTGTGTGCACAGCATGTGCAGATGTACGTAGAAGGGATCCCCAGCCCAGGAACACCCGGGTCCCAGGGGAACCCGGGGGGTCCCAGCAGGCCTGCTAGGTCTCCTTCCCACAACCCAGAAGCGGCGGTCCCCACAGGCCCAGCCCAGGTTGTCAAGGTCTCCAGAGGGGCTGGTGTGAAAGGAAGGAAATCCTGCTCAGCTTCCTCGGGCTGATTGCTTCCCGTGCTCTGTAAAGGGACAGGCGGAAATGCTGCTCCAGTCTCCCTCCTGCAGCAGGGGAAGGGGAGGCGGGGCCCCTGCACCATCATCGACAAGACTGCTGGGCCTTGCCCCCCCCACACCTCTTTCTGGAGCTCCAGGGCTATGGCAGGCCTTAGATATGGGCCCAGATTAGACCCTTTGCAAAGAGAAGTTTGAACAGAACAGTTGGGTGCCGGATGCCTGGTCCCAGGGTGGAGGCAGGACGTGGTTGAATGCTCCCCCTGTCCTTGGGTGCCCCAGTCACCCGTGTATTTGGACTCCGTGGGGAGAAGGCTCTTTGGATGCCCCCTGGCTTTGGTGGGAGTGGAACGGAGCGGCAGTTAGGAGGTAGGCTTCTCAGAGCCTGCACTTGCTCCCCCTGCAGGACTGAGCCTGCGTTGAGGACCAGGCTGAGCCCTGGGCAAGGTGCCCCATCTCTACATGTCATGAGAGCTCTGCTGTCTCCACTTTCCGTGCTGTGAGGCTCAGAGGGATGGGGATGCCACCCTGGACCACACAGCTAAGTGACCGATCAGAGTAGGGGCCTGCAACCACCGGGCTGCAAACTCCAGGTGTCTTCTGTCCTGTCTCCCCTGGGATGGTGGTAATGTAGGGAGGCTGCTCCCAGCAGCCCAGCTGGCCCTGGCCACCAGCATCAGCTTCTCTTGACCCATGTACAAGTAGGTAGCATTTGTGATTTTTTTGCAACTGAGAGCCCGTAGCCCAGAGGAGTCAAGCATATGGCTGGAGGTCAGGCCACCAGCCACTGCCATGGCTGTATCTCCTGCACCTGTTCCTGTTGTCAGAAGCACAAGGCCCTGGGCACACTCAGGGAACTCCCACTCTGGACATTGAGTGGGCTTCAGGCTCCTCTGCCAAAGCCCCTTTCAGAGACAAAGCCCTGCAAAATTCTCCCCTGGAGTGGTCATATTCACGGCTGCCTTCAGGGTCTCAGAAAGCAAGGATACCGAGAACACACCCTCCTTCCCCAGAAAGCCTTAAAGACTTAAGGGGCAGTCAGAGGTGAGGTTTACTGGCATTTAAGTGTCCCAGTGGACAATAGCAGCAGCACATCCATAATTCAGAAGGCCCCAGCTAACAGCCCTTTCCCAGCTAGAGGCTCCTCAGCCTCCCACGAAGCCCCTCCCTTTGCCCCCAGGGAGGGGCCGGAAGTGGGAATCGTCTCCACATTTCCAGGACTGGGGGAAGGGCCTTGCTCAAAGTCAACCTGAGTCCGGGAAGGGGGAGGGGAGGAGGGCCCAGGCTTCTCATCTCCCATTAAAAGCTCCAAAGGGGTCAGCAGACGCCCTCCTGACTGGGGCAAGGGGTCAGGTGGGGGCCGTGTCAGAGGCCCAGGGTAGCCCAAACCCAGCTGGCCCCAGGAGACGAGGGTGCAAAGAGCGCCCAGGCCTGAGACCAGGAGGCAGCGAGAACAATGGGTGCCTCAGCGAGCCGGGCTGGGGGCTCGGGCGCAGAGGGCCAGCGTGAAGCTGCCAGGAGCTGGAGGAAACCAAAGCAAAGGTCAGGAATGTTCCCAGGGCTTCTGGGCCAGGGCCTGCACTGTGCCAAGGGGTTGGGCTGCCAAGGGAGGGGGAGTGTGGGCAGGGAGAATAGCTGGAGCCTGAGGTTTGGGCAGGTCAGGAGAGAAAGTTCCTGGGCAGGAAGGGTGGGCGGCACCGCTTCCGGTTCCAGGAGCTCCAGATGGAAAGTCCCAGTCACTCCCTGGCAGGCTGGACCAAACCCAGTGCGCCTGGGCACAGGCCTTCTGGACCCTCAGCAGCAGTTTGGAGCAACGAATGGAACTGTGTTTTGAGTGGGTGTTTCTCAACCTTGGCACGCCTGGCATTTGGGACTGGCTAATTCTTGGTTGTGGGGGTGCCGGGCTGTGCTGCCCACATTGCGGGGTGTTTAGCAGCATACTTGGTCTCCACACACTGGATGCCAGGCGCTCCTCCCCCCTCCCGGTGGTGACGACTGTAAAGGTCTCCAGAGGTTGACAAATACACCTAGCGGCAAAAGTCACTTCACCCCCTGCTGAGAACCACTGGTTTAGAGAAACAATTTTCCCCAGGCCTGAGCCCAAGTTGCAGAATTTCCAGGGAGCCCAGGGTGGGGGTGGGGTTGGGACTGGAGTTTCTGGTCCTGGAACAGTCCGTGAAGGTGGCCATCTCACCCGTGGTCTCTGAACTCTGGACCCAGCAATTTCGCGGTCTCTCTCTCTCTCTCTCTCTCCGTGTTGAGTGAACATTCTTTGCTTAAAATCAGGGCCAGGTCCACGGGCACGTGACTTGAGCAGTCACATAGGGTGCACCCACAGAAGGGCCTCACTCTTGGTTTAATCTTTATTGTTGTCCCGTATTTTTATTTTGCACTGGACACTACAGATTATGCAGTTAGCTTTGTGTGAAATATCTACTATCTGTTCCTTTGCAGAAAAACTGCATGACCCCATGGGTTAGAGTCAAACCTTCTACAAAGTTTGTTGACAAGACCAGAAGCCCCTGCCCTCACTGGTCCCCACAGGCAATAATTTTCAACTATTTAGGTGATTCCTTTGGCATCCGTCTCTATGTCTCTAACTAACATGTTTATATTGCTGCTTCTTTGGGAAGCTCTCATTCCCACTCCATACCCTAACCCCAACATGCACGCATAGCAAGCATGCAAGAGCACACCCATGTGCATATGCACGTGCGCACACACACACACACACACACACCCTATCCATCATCCTCCCACATTGTCATTTTGAGTGATTACATTCATGTGACTATGTATGCTATTCAGAGTGGAGACACTTCATACTTTTGGTCTTCCCTGGAGCAAACAACGGTTTCCATTTTTTTTGCTTCTTTTGCTTAGTTTCCTGCGTTTCTGTCACTGCTCGATCCCAAACTCTTGGCCAGTTTGTCCACACCTGCTCTCCCCTTTCATCCATGTCAGGTGTTTGACTACCTGTGTGTTCTTGGTGATTGCTGGTCTCAGAGCTCTAGCTCTGGACGCTGGCCCTGCACCCACTGCCCATCGTTGACCTGGGCTCGCCTGCACCATCTTCCTGGGGACTCCCTTCCCCTCAATTCTCTGATGGAATTCCTGTCTCCCGATGCCCTGCTTTCCTCTTTCTTGGTACCCTGGCTTGTGTCGGTGGGGCACTTGTGGCACAGTGGTACCCTGTCCTGGGCTGTGACTTAGAATGCCACAGAGAGCTTTAAAATGTTGATGCCCAGGCCACAATCCCAGAGAATCTTGCTTCATTGACTTGGAGTGGAGCCCAGAGGCTCTTCTTTTGAAAGTGCCACACAACGGTTTTGATGTGAAGATTTGATGGCAAGATTGCAAACCACTGTTCTGGTAGCTTCCTGATGTGGGGTCCTGGGGTAGGCAATGTTTTGAAAACCGGTGTGTTGAAAATGTTTTTATTCTTGCTCTCTTTGCTTTGACTGATAGTTAGGTTGGATATAGGATTCTAAATTAGAAATATTTTTCCTTCAGTATTTTGAAGGCAGTTCTCCACTGTGTTCTAGTTTCCAGTATTGCTGTTGAGAGGCTCAAGGCCATTCTAATTGCTGGTGTGTGTGTGTGTGTGTGTGTGTGTGTGTGTTGATTTTTCTCTCTAGAAAGTATAAAATTACCTTCATTCCCAGAGTTCTAAAATTTCATGATGATGTGAGTTTATTTTCATCACATTGTGGGTAATTAGTGGGCCCTTTGCATCTGAAAATTCAAGTCCTTCACTTCTGTAATATTTGATTTTTTTAATAAACGATTTCCTCCTTCTGTTCTCTTTCTGGAACTCCTGTTATTCAGATACTGGATTTCTGGTGTAGACCCTGGGTCTGGAGTTCTCTCTTGTCCAGCAAGAGAGCGGACACAGGTTTAAAATGCAAGAGAGGCTAATGTCTGGGAGGAGACAAAAGCCCCGAGTAAGGGTCCTTGCTCTGTTTTTATTAGGATCAGAAGGCTTACAAGCGTGATGGATGTGCACAGAGACAATGAAACCGTGAACATTAATTCACAGGCATGAGGGAAAGGGGGTTTTGAAGATATGTGTTGTTAGGGGTTTGGGTCAATACAAAACAAAGTCCTGGTGCCAGGCAGATGATTGTTTACAGCAGGCATGATGCACCATGTCTGTTTATCTTAGCTAGCTTAGGGGACAAGACAGACAGAGCTTGCTACCTCAGGGTCAACAAAGCACCTTTCTTTTGCTAATTAGCTCCACTCTGGGCAACTTTGCCCTGCTGCCCCGCCTGCTGCAGTCTATAGTCCTGTTTACTGTTTACCTATTTTGGTCCTTCCTTCCTGTGAAAGCAGCTTTCTGCTATTGTACTAAGTTGGGGAGCGTTTCCTCCCTGAATACCTAATCTTGTTTACTATTCTTGGATGCTTTCATCCTGAGGTTTCCTATTTCTATACCTTTGTTCTATACTGGGGGCGCTTTGCCATGTTTACCTAATCTTGTTTACCTCACCTTGGATGCTTTCATCCTGTGGCTTTCTATTTCTTTATGCCTTGTTAACCCGTTGGTGCAAGCTCTGGGAATTCCTAATCTTATTCCCCACAGATTTCCAACACTGGTCTTCAGTTTTCCTGAGCTTTCCTCTCCTGTTTTCTTTTGCCCTTTGCTCTTCTTTTGGGGAAATTTTTTGAACTTTACCCTCTAACATTTTTATTAATTTTCTTTTGCATTTGTACTGTTATATTTTAATTTTCCAACTGTTGTATTTTTCATTCTCTGTATGTGCTTCCATTAAAAATTTTTAATGTTTGTTTTTGAGAGAGACAGAGTGTGAGTGGGGGAGGGGCAGAGAGAGAGGGAGCCACAGAAGCTGAAGCAGGCTCCAGGCTCTGAGCTGTCAGCAGAGCCTGATGTAGGGCTTAAACCCACGAACCACAAGCTCACGACCTGAGCTGAAGTCAGACACTGAGCCAACTGAGCCACCCTATATAGCACCCCTATATGTTCATCCTATTTCTTAATAGCTTCCTGTTCTTGTTTCTTGGATGCAGTAACTTCTCTTTATAGATCTGGAGCTGTGAATACAAATTTGGGGGACTTCTCTGCACAGTGTTGGTTTTCTCCAAGTTGATTTTTTTTCCAATTGTTTGTTTTTGATCTCCCTCTTTTGTACTAGAGGTTTTTCTCAGGAGTCATCTTGGACATCTGCCCACTTGAGAGCAGACAGACTAAGAAGCCCACTGGAAGCTAGATATGTGGATGGGTCTTTCTAACCTCTTTTGTCATAATGTGCTCTGCTGGGCTATTTCACTGGGGGAGCCCCTGATGCCATTGTTTTTAGGTCGTTCCTCTTGAGTGGGGTCATTTTCCCGATGGGGTTTTCAGTTTGCTACCAAGAGGGTAAAGGCTGGCTGCCAGGCTTTTGGGAGCCAAGCAGGAAGTCAGGCTGGGGGTCTCAGCCCTCAAGACAGATATGGTCACTCAATTCCCCTCAATCCTACCACCTGCCCTCCTCAGCAGAATCCCGGTACGGTGGTGCCTGGTGGTCCCAGGACAGAGACCAGGTCCAGAGAATAAAATCCTAACCTGACAGCCACTCCATCTCCAAGGCCCTCGAACACTGCCTCCTAATATCTGACGAGTGTGGCCATTTCTCTCCACATCCACCACCATCACCCATGGAACCTGCCAGAATCTCCCACCCAGATCCCTGACACAGCCACCTATACCTCGCCTCTCCCTGGCCTTTCTGTACCCAGGAACCAAGGTGGCCCTTTCATGTGTGACGTCTCTGCTCAAACCCCTCCACAACTTTCTGTCCCTTCAGGACACAGTCCAGCTCCTCCGTAGGAGCTCAAGGCCTCCACGTTCTGGCTTCTCCTTACCTCAGCAGCCCCTTCCCTGCCCCAACCCTCTGCATCTCAGTGGGCCACACATCTCTGGCACAGTTCCTGGCGCCAAGTTATCACCTCCTTCTGAAAGTCTCCCCGGGTCCTGGCACCTTCCACACCATCTGAGATGGCCTGCTCTCCCTGGGGACCCTGGAAGGAAGGTCTGTTTCTCCATATTGGCACTGAATCCTGTTCAGCTTCAGCCCGGTACCCAATACCCAAGGGGTGCTGAGCTGAACTGAGCCCTGGAGGTCATTGCCGCTTGCAGCACTGGAGAGCTCCGTTCTGGGAGCTGATTGCTGGGGGAAGGACCCTCTGATCTATTCTACTGACCCCATCAAGCCTGCCACCGGGTCAGTGAGCTGGGGCTGTGTCAGCCACGAGCACCCCCTGCTCCTGGGACTTGCAACAACACGCACTCATAAAGAATGTAGATGGAGAGGCTACCTCTCAGGCATTCAGGGTGCTGAATGTGACCCCCAAACTACCCTGTAGGCTCTTTCCCAGAGAAGGGGCTGCTCCACTCAGCTGCCTTCTCCCACAGTTGTTTGAAAGTCCATTTCCATAATGGCCATAATGGGGAATGGACAGGGAGCAGGTGTCCTCCCTGAAGCCTGGTCTGCGGTGAAGACAGATGTGAGTGTAACAGGGCAGGGCGGCAGTGATCGCTGAGCACTTGTCAGGATCCCGGCACTTGGTACCCATCCGCCCACTTGGAGGAGGGTATTATGATCTCTATCTGATAAATGGGAGAGTGGAAACTCCCTAAGTGCCTCACTCAAAGTCAGAGTGCGAAGGACTCTCCAGCCCCAGCGGCATGATGCTGCTTCCCTGGCACCAACAGAGACAGCGAGAGGCCTTCCTGGCTCTGTGTGATTTTGGGGGTGCTTGTCAACCTCTCTGTGCTGGCCCCTGGAAGCCAGTGGAGCAGGTGCCCTTGCAGGCAGGGTTTGTGGAGCCTTTGTCCGGGGGCCGAGGGATAAATAATGCAGAGTGCTCCCTTCTCAGGATAATGGATTCTAGAATCCCAGGCATTGGGTGGGGCAGGGAGGCAGGAGTGGGGCACTGGCACCACTGTTGGCATCTAGGAAGGGTCATGTGGGACCCGGGTGTGACTCAGCAGCCCTCTCCTCTGGCTTGTTTTTCCAGTAACTGGTGCCCTTACCAGAAGTCTAGGCTGGTCACCTTTGTAGCTGCTTGCAAAACAGAGAAATTCCTTGTCCACTCGCAGCAGCCATGTCCACAGGAGACTCCGGACTGCCAGAAAGTCAAAGTCATGTGAGTGGGGGCAGGATGGGGCAAGGGGGGCCACCCACCCAAGTCCTACACTGGCTCACTCTGGAGTCACTGAGCTGGCCATCTTTCCCCAGGTACCGCATGATACACAAGCCGGTGTACAAGGTCAAGCAGAAGGTTCTGGCTTCCGTGGCCTGGAAGTGCTGCCCAGGCTTTTCAGGCCCTGACTGCCGACACTACGGTAGGGCTCCCTGTGGCTCCCTCCCCTTCAACCTCTGACCCAGAGGTCAGGCAGCTCCTCTGACCTGTGGTGTCAACATCTGTTGCCTCCTCTCTGCAGATCCCACGGCAATCCTTGAGCCCGAAGATCCAGGGGATGGCCTCCAGGAGTCTTGGGATGGGCCAGTCAGCTTTGAACCAGGTATGCTGCTTTCCTAGAAGGTACAGGAGGGGCAGGCAGGCAGGCAGGCAGGCAGAAAGAACCCACATGCCCAGGCCATTTCAGGAAAACTCTGTGCCCAGAATCAGCAGGGGTCCCTCTGTGGCCCTGTATCACCCTACCCCCCACACCAAGGAGGGCAGAGCCACAGGGCCCTCGGTCACTGCCTGTTGGCTAAGCACACACACCCTTTCCCTTGACTGCATTTTCTGGGAAGGATAGCTTCATCCGGCACCTACCTTGCCCCTTGAATGGGACAAGATCCCATGGCCTGGAAGAAACTTTCCCCCATGTCTCCTAACCAGGCCCAGAAAGTCGTGCTAGCCTTGGTGTAGGTATAGTCAGCACAGAACCCCCAAGAGGCACCAATTGTGAGGCCTTTCAAGGCCGGACCACGGCCGACGTGGCAAATAAATTTCTTCGTGCGGTGAACTCCTACCTTTAGACAAGGGCTGCCTAGGATGATTGTTGAGAGGCCATGTCCACACAGCTGAGGACAAAAGTGTGCCATGATTGATCAGGCGTGTCTGCTGTGGGTGTCCAGTGAGGGTGAGGGCTCAAGTGCCAAGCATCTCCCCCTCTGGAGCTAAAGGCTTCTGAGCTCCCGCTCACAGGACATCAGCACGCAGCTCCCTGATATTTCTATCCGAACCTGGAAATTTCTTTCTCCGTACCTCACGATCTGCCCAGGTCTGGGGAGTGAGACCTCGACACTTATCCCTTGTGTGTCTTCAGGCCACCTGGCTGCAGAGATCAGCGACACCATGGTGCCACAGGAGGATCTCCAGAACGACATTCACCAGGTGGCAGACAGCCTCCCAGGCCTGTGGAAGGCGCTGGAAAGCAACGTCACAGCTGCGACCATGGAGGCAAATCAGACAGAGCCTGGTGAGTGGCAGGCTCCAGGGGTGGAGGAACAGCCTGTTCACATCTGAGGGGAGAGAGGAAGGCGGGGCAGGAAGGCCCAGATCTCAGAGGAGCCCCCTCTGGTCCCTGCCTGGGGAGGCGTGTCTGGTCCTTGCAGGGCTTGTGTACAAACGTGTCTCTGTTGCAGTGTTTCCTGGCAGATCCCTGGAGCAGGTGCTACTGCCCCACATGGACGCCTTCCTGCGCGTGCATTTCAGCCCCATTTGGAGCAGCTTCAACCAAAGCCTGCACAGCCTCTCCCAGGTCGTAAGAAACCTCTCTCTTGAGGTGGAGGCCAACCAGCAGGCCATCCGGGGGGTCCAGGAGAGCACGGTGGCCAGAGCTGACTTCCAGGAGCTTGGTGCCAAATTTGAGACCAAGGTGCAGGACAACGCCCAGAGAGTGGGACAGCTGCGGCAGGACGTGGAGGAGCGCATGCACGCCCAGCACCTCTCCCTGCAGCAGTCCGTCTCCGAGGTACACGCAGATGTGGACGCCAAGTTGAAGAGGTTCCTTAAGGCCCAGGGGCCCGTGGGGGCCAACGGCAGCCTGGTCCCCGCGGCGGCGGGGGCAGCGGCAAGGCCGGAGCCCGAGAGCCTGCAGGCCAGGCTGGGCCAGCTGCAGAGGAACCTCTCAGCGCTGCACGCGGCCGCCGGCCGCAGGGAAGAGGAGTTGCGGGGCATCCTGGCGGACATGCAGGCCACCCTGGCGCAGCACGTGGAGGAGATCAAGGAGCTGTACTCGGAATCCGATGAGACCTTTGATCAGATCAGCCAAGTGGAGCACAAGCTGTTGGAGCTGCAGGTGAACCACACGGCGCTGCGCGAGCTGCGGGTGATCCTGATGGAGAAGTCGCTGATCATGGAGGAGAACAAGGAGGAGATGGAGCGGCAGCTCCTGGAGCTCAACCTCACCATCCAGCACCTGCACGGCACCAACGCCGACCTCATCAAGTACGTCAAGGACTGCGACTGCCAGAAGCTCTACTTGGACCTGAATGCCACGCGGGCCCTGGAGGAGGCGCAGGTGGGCCCGGACGAGCGGCGCCGGCTCGAGGGCTCGTCCCTGCAGGCCTTGAGCGACGCCGTGGCCGCCCTGTCGCGGGCGGTGGACGAGCGGCGGGCGGAGGGCGAGCGGGCGCGGGCCGACGGGGCGCGGCTGCGGAGCCAGCTGCGGGCGCTGGACGGCGAGGCG